CTTACAGTCAGCCCCATGAGCTCTTGTTTTTTTCTGACCAAAGAGCTGCTGTTTAGAAGTGGCAAAGAAATGGTACCTGTAAATGAAGAATGGATACTTTTCTATAAGTATCCATTTGTTCAACAACAAACCATTGTGGTTGCTAATGTCCACTTATATACTGCATTTTCTCACATACAGCATGCACTTTTTCCCAAAACCCAGCTGCTGGAAATTGCAGTGTTCATTGTAGGAGAGAAATATGTTAAGAGCAGGTTCTGATGTTTACAGGTAAAACTACAAGTACAAATTATTGTGACCCCTATGGGGCAGAACAGTGAGTAGGCTCAGATCCCTAGCTACTGCTCCTCAGTTCCTACAAGAAAAGATCTTTTTTTCCCCTTCATTCTGCCTTTCAAAAATAGATCTTTTTTTCCCTTCATTCTGCCTTTGTGTTGTATTTCAGGGTGTGTTGTATGCAGTAAAATACAGTAGTAAAATACAGTAGTAAGAAAGCAAGAATTCCTTCAACTGCAGATGTGGAGTGGAGTTCTACTGTCCATCTACAGGAAGTCAAACTAGGTGATCATAAAGGTCCCTTTTCAACTTTAAAATCTATTAATCTATATTAAGGACTCAGCAGCTCAGGAAATATTTCTAACATGAGTGGATTTTGTACTTTAAGATGTTAAAACCTTAAAACCAGTGTTTGCTTGCTCAGGCACCAGGGAACAAAGCAGTGGGTGGCCTGAATCCATTCCACCCCCCTTCATAGTAAATGCATGACTGCATTCTTCACTGGTGGATTTGCACAGAACAGATCAGCTTCTGGTTTGCCTGCAGAAATTTGACCTCTCTTTCTGTCTCCTCTGTCTAAACTGCACCTCATCTCAGTTGTCTTATGGCCAGCATGCTTGCTACAATAATATCTACATAGACCTCAGGGCAGATACAGAGGTGATGCAGTACTGCAGTCCAGCTCTCTTTCAGACCATGCTGCAGGAGCAGCAGAGCATCCACACATTCAACCAGTAAAATATGTTAAGTACTCTCATATTGTAACAAAGTTAGGACTGTGTGTGGGAGGAGTCTCCAGATCATGTTCAAATAACACATGGTCAGCTATCATTGAATCACTCGATGGAGATAATATAACAAATTTGAGTCCTTCAAGGCTGCATGGTCTTTTAGCTCCCTGTTCCTAGAAATGAGGCCCCTGATACTTGTTTGTATTAATTAGGAAAGGCATACATTCTTCTGGAGTGAAATATCTGCAAGGTGTTTCCCTGAAGAATTAGAAATTGAAGGGAAATTCTGTACAACCTTTCTCCCCTTATTTCCTAAGTGTCCATCAGAGTGCAAAAGACGTTCCCTGAGCTCTCCTCCTTTATACCTCCATCCTATATGGAGGACACCCATGCTGTTTTTTAACAGCTTGGGCTGCTGTAATGGCAGTCATACTGGCACTGGAAATTATTTCTACTGATTTATATAATCCAGTTTTACAGAAGTAGCCCCAGTCACCTTTTTGTGCCCAACCTTGGGGACACCCGCAAGAAGAGGGAGCACCCTGAGGAAGTGGAGTCTTTTATCCAGGTGGATGCAGAAAAACCTGTACATCCCCAGCAAAGTGAGAGGACTTGTTTTTTTAAGGTTTTTTTATTATTCCAGATACATTCTTCCCCCAAAAAAGCAAAGGGGTTGAATGCCCATTATGAATCTCAAGTCAGCCCCTGAGGTTCAGAATAGTCATTCCATCTTCAATAGTTTCTTTACAAGCTTGATTTGAGGCTCTGACTATAATGACCACAAATTTTCCCATAAGTATATACCAGGCTCACATAGATTTTCTACTAGAACAAGCTATTATGAATTCAGATTCTACCCTTTGGGCCCTTGACGGGTGTTGACATCATTCTTAGCAACAGCACATCTGCATTGATAAGACGTAGAATTGTTTCTGTATCTAGATAATTGGTTAGTGCAAGGGAAATAAAAGAAAGACGGTTCAACAATCAGTAAACTTCTTCCATCCTCTCAGCCACATATTAAATGAAGAAAAGTCAATCTTAACCCTAACCCATACTATAGAATTTTTTTGGATGAAAGTCACTCCAGAGCACCCAAAATATATTTGCCTAAGTCCCTCCAGGACCAGTCTATACCAGCCTGATGTGGGCAAGACAGTTTTGGTTCTCATGTCTCCTACAAGTGTTTGATAGTTCTCCTGTTGACTTAAATCTTAAGTCATCTTTCCACATTTCTGTAAAGATGTGGCCTATCTTACAGCCGTCAGCTAGGAGGGTGGGAAAACTGGGAACTCTTGAGTCATACCTGCCCTATCCCATCTCTTGTCATGTTAAAGTTTTGCCTGGACCACTCCCCAAATTTCTGTGCAGCATTCTTACAGAATTCCACATTAATCAAGTGTTTGACTTACTTATTTGTCCTTCACACCAAGTATGGGTTGTGAAGAAATGGGATTGTGATTTTAGAAGTCAGAAGGGCTTTGGCATTTTACCTGCGGAGTGCAAAGCCCTTCATAAAATCTGCTTACCCTCTTTGCTGAGAGAAGGCAAAGCAGTTCAGCCCAGAGACTTACAAATGGTACTGTGCTACTTTGTGATGAATTATCTATGAAACTAAAACCAGGCAATATCAGGACATTCAAACAGTCATATTCTGTGTCTCCCCTTAAGATTGTCCCTAATACTAACATGCACCATGGCAACATGGGGCATGGGGGTCTATACATTCCTTTTCAAACCATTATGTGCTTTTATAGGAATCTGCTTCAGATGTCTGGGGCAGTCCACCACCCAGCAATTGGTTATATCTATGAGCACCCACCTCCTCATTAATTATGCTGTTTGGTAGTCATCTATATGAAATATATATGGGGACAGGCATTTAAGACAGTACAGTAAAGTACAGTAACAGAAGTTCTTCAGATGTGGGGGGTGTATGTGTGTTTATTCCACTAACTACCCCCCTTTCCTCTGCTTTGGGCTCCTCTGCACCTTGAGGTGTACAGGATGGAGAAAAATTATAATGGTGGTTGGTCCCATACAGCCTTTATTTCTTTGAACAGTTGACAGAACTAGATCAGGCTCATGTGTGGACTAAGTAAGTTCAACCGGCTAAAATCTCTGGGCCCGGGTTTGTTGAGCCCAAGATCACCCACAGTAGAATATACCCATGGACAATACTGCTAAGAACTCCAGTTCCTCTACAGGTAACCTTTCTTTTCTATCCTCTTCAACATTATTACTGCAGGAAAGCTTATGCATGTAGGTCAGGTATGCCTGAGACTTTGAAATTGGTCAGTTATGGGGTTGACTCTGTTCTGTTTCTGGTAGTAATTTCCACAGACAGAGATTCAATCTCAATCTTCAATCTATGGTAGTTTGTCCATATCATAACTTGAGTTTTGACAGTACATAGATATTCATAATTGATCATCTTTTATTCCATTGAATCTAGACATAAATTATATATAAAAAAAATCTATCAAGATTACCACCTAATCGTGTCTCAAAATTCTCAAAGACAGTGTAAGTATACCGCAGACTATTGGAGCTAGAAGGTATTGAAATTTAAGACCAATGTTTACTTTATACACACACTGGGTATTGTTGGGTTTTTTTATTTTGTGAAAATAGTAGTTTGGAGCACAAATATTTGTTATTTCATAAAAACAACTAGAAACATAAGTGAAATGCTTCAACGTAAAGGTTCATTGTGGAATAATATTAGGTTTTTTTTTCATTGATGTGAAAGCATTATGTAAGGGGAAGATATATATTTTTAATGGTTCTATTTCAAATCTTTACTGTTCTCTATGAAATGGTGACTGCATTTCAGACTAATGAAAATTCACCTGTAGGGCATGATGTAACCTAAATTAGATTATTGTGTTCCTGATCACAACCAAACAGTCCTTTTGTATAGTTTGATCTTCATCAGAAACTGTAGGAGTCAATACCAGCAGCCAGATTGGATTTTCCATTCTTACCTATTCTTGGAAATATCTGCCTTGATACTCTGGTAAAAACCATGTCAGAGGGGACTGGAGTTCGTCATAAAAGCAATTATTGATCATGTGTTCCTGGAAATTAGCATCATTGTCTTCTCAGAGACTGTTCTCACTGACAGCAAATTGGAACTGTGCCAGTCTCAAAGTTTGAGTCAAAGTAGATTTTTGGTATGATTAGGAACATAGGGCTTGATAGGGACTCCTGGACCACTGAGTCCAGGCCTCTGTATTCACAAGCCATCATTTACCCAAGAAATTCCCCTAATCTCTATTTTACAGCGGGTGTAAGAATACCAGTGCCAGAAAGATGTAAAAGTGGCCTGCTGGCTCAGGCAGGAGGAAGCTGCTTTTCAACAACCTCAGGCCTGTCACCTATGCTGTCCTTGGCCTGCCAATTACTAATGGGACTGGGTAGGAAACTGTTGTCTTGTTCAGCCTCAGGACATTAGAAAACAAAGCTACACAGCCAACTGCAAGTTGAGAAGATGCCATTTGGGACAACAAGGAGGCATTTCAGGGCAGGAGTATGACAGATGAAGGCCTTTCTGTGGAAGGTCTGTGACCAAAAGTGCAATAAGGGTTGTTGCCTGCAGAATCAAGGAACTATGACTGGGTGCCTGTTAGGTACTACTTGTCCTCTATGCTCCAGATTTGCTTAGACACTGTGGAAAATTGAGCCTTTAACCCCCGGCAAGTTAAGGTGAAAATCAGTCAGTGAAAAGGTAGAACTAAACTTGAGAGAACGGACAGAAATCTTAGTTGTACATGATCAATGTGTTATAAACACAATATACATTACTGGAACAAGGACTCATGACCAACATTAAGCAGCTTCATATGGGTCTTTGCTCTTGAATATTGGGGATGTGATCTTGTTCATATTTTAAGCCTTTGTTGCCTATAAACATAGACTTTCCCCCTCCATTTATCCATCTAATGCTAAGCACACTCAGATCTTGTGTTTTTGTTGTCATTCCTCCTGCAGGTGAATGGTATTGATCTTCGAGGTGCTACCCATGAGCAGGCTGCAGCTGCACTAAAAGGAGCAGGGCAGACGGTAACAATCATAGCACAATATCAGCCAGAAGGTAAGTAAAATAACAGATATGTAGACATACAAAGAAAGAAAAATGCCTCCCATTCAACAGGACAAAGTTTTGGTAGATAATGCGTTTCCTAGTCATAATCAGCAAACCGTCTGAAATGCCTTTTCAACTAATAGTATGATACTGAATGAGTGATGATTACTTTTTATTGCTGTTTTGCTTTCAGAAATGTCGCAGACAGCTATAAGTACCATCCTGAAATATGATTATAAGAAAGCAGCCTGTACCAGTTTATCATTTTATTTCCATTATAACTTATTCAATAATTTCTCTCTGTTCTCCATGTCCTTTGGAGCCTGCTAGTGCAGAACTGGATCTTTAAGGATGTACAGTAATCCTGGGAAGAGCTGATGTTGGTCTCAGTGGATCAAGATCAAAATTAAGCAGATAGAGTCTTTTCTTCATGAATGCACAGAAGCTCCCATTAATACCAGTGGTGGTTATACAGTTGTATTGCTGGGGAATTAATGACAGATAGCAGATATTTGCAGGAAAAAAATTACATCCTGCTAAATAAAAATGTCCAAGGAAAAGGTACATTTTCCACCAGCTGTTAATATAGTATAGACCTGGCCATCTAAATGTGTTAATGATTCATGGGAAGACGTATGAATTTTTGGTAGGAATTCAATCTCATTTTTCCACAGAGAACTGTGATCCCAACCTCTCACCCTGAGGAGCTGTGTCTCTTTTAAATTGGCACTACATTGTTACTCTTCTGGTAAATAGTTTTAGCTCAATTCAGAACTTCTGCTATGACCTGTCAAAACGAGCCTTTGATTCTCTCTAATTGTACCCTGCCAAGAACATATGTGGGTCTCAGGTGATACAGAACAAATTTAAAAATAGATCCAGCGATTCAGGTTTTATTTCCAGAGATGCTGATGTGATGAATTAGCACTTTCAGAGTTTATGAAATCTGATACCTCTAAATCCCACACGTAAAGAAAATTTAGGGGGAAATTTGCTGGTGTCTTATCTAGACAGTGGAGCCTTTAAAATTGGGTTCCACCTTGACACCAAATGAAGAGTGTGTCCACACTGTAGTCACCAGGAAGGACAGTAAATTAGCCCTGGCTGAGATTTGTGCTGCTGAAGCTAGACTGTTACTAAACCCTAAGCTAACACTTGCATTGACTCTTAATTTTTTTTTTTCATCTCTGGGTTCCCTGAACTACAGTTCAGAGTGCTTGTCCTAGGGAATGGTATCTTCTGCCCCGACCAGGAAGGTTTCAAGGGTTGTAATATTCTGTTGTTTTGAATGTAGATATAATGCATCAGTAGCAAGCTGGCCTATTGGCTCAGAGTGTGCATTGCAGAAGACCTTGATATCGTTACCATTTACGTTATCTTATTCCCTGTGTCAACATGGCCTGAGAATGCTACAGAGCCAAGGTATTCAGGCTTCAGTGGGGTTTACACATTTGGCAATTATTCTGTCCAGTTAAAAAGTGCTGCTACCTTAATGAGCACTGGTTGCACATTCTTTAAGGGAGAGGAAAGCAGCTGCGTTGCAAGATACGGGGGATGGGAAAAGCTATGTATTAGTCAAAAGGCAGAGGGATCTGCAGGCCCTGAGAAAAGAGATGGGAGAACTCTGCCAAAAAAGAGGTGGTTTGGGAGCCTATACAAGGTATATCACTGTCCAAGGAATGGGGAGATATCCACATTACTGTAACTATCATGTAATAATCATTGCTTGTTCTTCTTGCTGAAAGTCTCATTGGATAAAAGCAGATGTCACCTGATGTCCCATTTGTGCTGCCATAAAATTGGTAAGCACCCTTTGTCATGCCACCACATCAGAGCAAGATCAGTGGCATGACACCAGATAGTCATAAATTCTGCTGCTTTATTGCAGCAGACATCTATTAGCTGTGTGGTGGGAGAGTGTGAGCAGCCTGAACTGTCTGCCCTCTCCAGTCACCCAGGGCAGGTGCTTCAGGGGCATGAGGACCTCTCAACCCCCCCAGGGCAACTGTCTGGCTTTCCCAGATTACGCCTGGAAATCTCAGGGTGCCTCTCCAAACATGTGTGTTTTGCCCTAGGAAGCAGATCAGCTGTGCCATGACATCATGGTACAGCTGACCTGCTTCATTTATTTATGGCATTTATTTCCAGGCATAGAGACAACAGGCTGAGTTTTCTTCCCGCATTCGAAAGTAGTTCCTCTTACCGAGAAGTGAGATGCATTGCTGAGCTGGCCTTACTGCTGAACGTGCTGTGCCAGTTTGATGGCCAGACTGAGGACATCAGCCATCACGCCTCTCACTCTTCGTAACTATTACATTTCAGGCAATGTCTTTCTCAGACCCTAATTGTCACCCTCCTCCTAGCCAGCCAGAATTAAAGTTCAAGCATGTTCAAAAGACACACCATTAAGACAGATACAAATGGGAAAAGCTGAGATAAAGGGAGGCAAAAAATAGAATTAGGAGTAAACAAGATTATAAAAACATTCATAGCTAATTACATGTATGAAATGCATTTTGTGTGTGTGTGTGTGAAGGCCTAGTCCAATGTAATCTTGTTCCAATTAGCTACTGCAGCTTGCTTATCTGTTTTTATACTGCAGTCATCACCATGGTTTCTGAGTGCTTACAACAATCTTGCCAAATTGCTTTGTGACATTGGTTGAATTGTATCCACAGTGCCTATACTGTTTAACAGATTTTGTTCATACATTTAGATAATTTATTTGACATTTTTTTTTCTGTTTCTACCAGCTCCATAGCCTGTCAAATTTTATTTGGTGACTATACAGCTCAAATAATGCTGGTGAAATATGTTAACTAACATCCTAAAATATTTTTTCCTGCTTTTCATGCTGCTCGTGCACAGCGCTCTGTTCACCACAAAGCATATTTAGGATGGACTAATCCAATCTTAGTGTCTAGTGGTCAAGGAAAGCTGTGTTCAGCACTACATATTTAATGCAAGAGGTTTATTTCTTGGAAGCCGTTAGATAACTGTAACCCATCAAAATAAGTAGGTTTTTTACTAGGATTGGGTCCTAACACAAGTGAGTTAGTAGACCTGAATTTCTTGATATGGTTAGAGACCCTTTGAGCTTCAGCCCCATTCCTTATAACACCACATAAGGCAAGAACTAATCTCCCAGGAGTGTACTACCTCTTATGTCTTATTGCTAAAGAATTTCATTTCATGCTGGGTTTCTGGTTGATGTAAACATTATAGATAAAGATGTGGGATGAAATATTCACCTTCTACAAAATGCCCACAAGCAAAAAGCTGTAAAAGGTTCAAAACAGCTGTTCAAATAACCTTGACACAGAATTATTTAAGGATTTATGGGTCACGCACAAGGACAAATACATCCTAGATGCATCAGCATAAATCGTCATCTTTGTATTAGGGCTCTTGTTTTTCCCTTCCTTGTAATTTTTACTTAATTTCTAATATTCCCTACTTTCATCTTTACCTGTATTTTGGAACTGGTTTGCAGAATGCTATAACTTTTTCAATATCTTTCTCCAGGAATGTATAACTCCAAAAAGCTTCCACCCAAATTGCCAGAGTATATAAACAAAAATGGATTTGTAGCATGAGTTTTACTATTTTTATAGCCTTTCATATTGAACTTTTGAGTTGTTACTGCTTCCTGTTATTTGGGAGATCCTGTAATGGCTGTTGCAAATGTTGAGTGATGTTTTGTCTTTGCTTTAATAGGCACATAAATATCCATCTGGAGAGGATGGATTACAGACAGGAAAGTCATTACAGAGGAAAAAATCTCAACTCAGAATGGGGCTATTGATTTTGGGACAGTGCATGATCGTATATAATGTTCCAGCGTTAATTGCTAATCATCAACTCCCTGTTAAAATGATTAGTCAGAGGAGTTAATACTTCAGAAAGTTACTGTTTGTGTATTAAAGGCAAGAGACAAACATATGTAGATGTTTCAAGGTTTTTACCTGACCATCTTATTGAATTAGGTCACATTTTGTGGAAATAAAAAGGCACCAGAGTCTGAATTCTCCTCCGGGTTACTTAAGCAGCCAAAAGTTTAGTTGAACCTAATCTGACCTCCCCTGACATTTTGAATATTTAGCCTCAGCTGGACCTCATGAATGACATTTCTTGCAAGATTTCTAATGCTTGCCAAGAGGCTGAATAATTTTTCTCTTGGTATTAGGGCACTTTCACTTCTCATCTTTCCTGGACCCAGGAAATGCAGAGGCTAGCAAAAGCAAAATATATTATCATCACAAAAGTTTTGGGTGCCGTCTGAGCTATGGGAGGTAATGGGTTTTTCTCTTCCTGTGCCTAAAATGGGAAGTGGGTTGGCAATCAGAAGAAAAGGATACAAATGCCATGAATAAAGCAGGGATAGAGATTGTTAATGATGATTTGCATGGAAGGGGCCATTATACATTGGTAAAGGGAAGTGTGGGGAAAAAGGAAATATTCCCTTTTTCCATGGTTACTTTTCCTCTGGGTTTCCCTGATTTCTTCACACATATGTGCCCCCATTTTTATTTACTTTACCTCTGAGAGAGGGAGAAAAAGGTAAAGAGAGAGGCAACACAGCTGAGAAAAGGACACAAGTTAACAATGACAGTGAGGAGAGGGTTTGAGGTGAAGTATGAACAGGTAAGAAGGGGAGAAAAGAAGAAGGAATACCACAAATACAAGAGAAAACCAGGTAGTACGCAGCCATGATAGAGGAAAGAAGGGATCTATTTCTTGCATTGACAATAAACCTCAGAAAGCAAGGCGAGGAAAGTCTCAAAAGCAGACACACTGGGCACGTCTACATGAGATGCTTTACTTGAGATTAGAGCAAATTACTGTGCAGTAAGTGTCACCATCTACATGTGCAGAATTTGTTGTAATCATGAGTAAATGTGCTACCTGTAAATACAAGTAGCAAATTTACTTAGGAGTAATTACTGTACAGTATGGCATGTGTAGATGGTCAACTGGGAGCAAATGTGCTGCCGGGTAACGGAGCAGGG